TTATGTAATTTAAGTTTGCACTTGATTCTGATTCTGTTACACCCTTTACAAAACAGTAGGCTACGATTCAAAATCCTCTAACATGTGTGTTCACACTCTACGGCTAAGCCCTTCAGATAAACACAAGCTAATAACCCACGTGATAGTTTAAAATCTATTTTTATTCAAGTGGATGGCATATTTGAAATCCAGTTTATTTATAATTAGAATAATATGAATATATACATTTACATACTGGACTGTAATTGAATGACAAATTAAAAGATTTTTTTAAAAACTTAAAATAATATTATTGCAGTATAAGTAAAACACCATTAAGCAACTTCTAAAGGTAGACTACATTAGGAAATAAACAGATTTCCCTTCAGTGCCAATCTGTAAAAACAAGATGAATTGCCAAGAATATGTTTATAGGCCTGTGTTTGAATTTATATCTCTTTAGTATCAAGGAACATACCATTACAAACATAATTATGAAACGTGTCTATCCTTGTGTTAAAACAAAAATCTTGCTTGTTGCTATATTGTTTATATTGCTGAATATATATATATATATTTTTTTTTTCAGTTCAGTATTCCATGATTCTGCATATTTATTCTATTTACTTCCGTCAAATAATAAATATATACATTTATACATACATGTCATGAGCATTTGTCGGTTTTAAAAAGTCCTTCATTAAAAGTTACTACTATGAAAGCCTAAATTATGATTTCTCCAAATGCTAAATTAATTTTAGTTTGTTTCAGTTCGCTATATTTTCCCATGTCTGTATACTTTGAATCTAAATTATGCCTGCTTTTATACACCAAAAGTTCTAATTTTACAAAACTCTATTCCTATTATATTTGTTTTATAAAATTATTGTTGTTGTTGTTGTTGTTGTGAAACAGTTCCCTTACCTGCTGCCAGTGCCATCGCTGCGTCCGTGGTACTCACAGGTGCACTGGGAAGGACAGAAGGGTTGTGCCACACACCAGCAGCTCAGGAGAACCTGGGCCGCTAGCAGACGATACATCCTTCAGTCAGATGAACCAGCGCGGACACAAACACTTCCACACATCAGATCCCACCCGATCATCAGTGGACAAAAACTCCTTTATCAGTCCCCAAGGAAAACCAATAAAAGCATGAAAAGTGCCTCGCAGCATGCATCTTGTTAAGCATACTAACAGGTGAGAGGGGCGCAGGAAGCCGAGAGGAGTGGGAGGTGCGCTCGGGGATAGGCAGGAGGAACCCAGATTAGTAAGGATTTCTCAAGGCTGAGTAGGTCACTACAGTTGAGGAGTGTGGGATGGGAAGTGTGTACGAGTTTATTTGTGTGTACGAGTGCGTTAGGGTGTGTGACTGAGTTCGAGGAGGAAGATAAGCCCTGCAGGCACATGCTAATCGGCTAAAACCACAAGAAGGTTCTCTCAGCATCATCACGTGACCGCTCGCAGACACTTTTCCATCCGTCACCTGGTGTATGAACTGATTCTGGCTGCGCTTCGGCTCTTTCCGTCACCTCCCTCGCCTCGCGCCGTGAAGTGTTTGCGTGCTTGGAGGCTAGATGACACCTGTGTGTAAACTGAAGTACAGGTCATGATTTACTGAGAGCAGGCCAGACTGTCTATGTCTGAGAGATATATAGTCGCTTAAGAAAATACTGAGACGAAAACATGCTGGCCATCTAACAGTGTGTGAATAAAAACTGCTTAAGGTACATTAGGAAATAAACAGATTTCCCATCAGTACCAATTTGTCAAAACAAGATTAATTGCCACGGGTGTGTTTATGTAGGCCAGTGTACAGCATGAGTATCAAGGGAAAGTATGCATAATAAAAAACATCATTATGAAATGTGTCCATCCTTATGTTGTAACAACATCTGGTTTGCATGCATTTACCTTGTTGCAATAATTTCTGCTCAGTTTTGTGAAATGTAATATTTTTTTTTTTCATCTGTAAGTAAATAATAAGTGTTAAAGTGCAGTGAATTGCTGGCACCACTGTGATTTTTCTTAAGGCACCAATTTGGCTTTTATTATTATTTTTTTATTATTATAGCTTATTATTAATTAGTGTGTCTTCTTTTTAATTGAAGTAAAACTTTTTTTTTTTTTTTTTTGTAGCAGGTTGAGATTTCTAAAGATGTTTTTATTTGTATGTCTATATACTTTAGAGTTTTAAATTAAATTATAATTAAATGTAAATTATAAGGCCTTTTTCAAGTTATATACAGTAGTCTAAGACAAGAGAGATGTCCTTTTGTAGCCTGCCACCTTGTGGTCTGAGTGAAAACAACAGAGCTGTAGAAACAACACCTTTCAAAAGTTTAGCATCAGTAAGATTTATTTTATTTTTTTTACCTTTATTCAGCAATGATGCATTGAATTGTTTAAAAATGACACTGAAGACTGGATTAATGGCTACTGAAAATTCAGTTTTGCCTTCACAGAAATAAATTACATTTTAAAATATAAAAATACAGAAAATAGTTATTTTAAATTGTAATAATATTTCACGATATTACTGTATTTTTGATCAAATAACTGTAGCCTTGGTGAGCATAAGAGTCAAAAAAAGTTGCAAATACTGTTTTCTAATTTGACCTTTACAAATTACTTTGTGCATCCTCTTTAGTCAGAAGTAAAATCAAATAATTTAGGTCTTAGTTACCACATAAACGTAAATGAACAAAACATTTTTAGAGTGTGTGTGAAGTGAATAATTTCAACATGATACACAGACTGTTAAGGACAACAACAACCGTAGAGTATTTATTAACAAGTACACCAGTGTAGTTTATTTATGCAAGCAGTTTATCCCTACAGATCAGAAAAGCAACTGTCAAGCGGTTGGCACATTTATGTACAAAACAAATGAATGATACAGCTTGCTACTAAGCATTCTTTAGTGAGAGTACAAAAAGATTAGTATATGAGGACAGAGAGAGTGAGCCAGAGTAAGAGAGAGAGCCAGAGTAAGAGAGAGAGAGAGAGAGAGTGAGCCAGAGTGAGCATTAAGTTATGGGCTCAATAAGATCACCACAAAGTAAACAGGCACAAATCAAACACTACCATCGAAGAGTAGGAGTTTCAGCGCAATGTATTCAGCATAGGATTCAAATTACTGCACATTATGAGGAAGGGGATGACCCAGCAAGACAGTCGCATTTAACAAACTCATAAAAATGATGAAATTAAAACTGTTTTTCTTGTTTGTTTGTTTTTTTGTTTTTGATTTTTTCCATTATTATTATTATCATCCTTTTTTTTTTGATCCAGTAAAAATGCATGACCATGCCACAAATAACACTTAGGTTCACAGTCTTTACCTAACATTACAGGGGTGTGACTTTGCAGCCGGAACCCCAATGCACTTACACCAAGAAAGAGCTCACAAAATGGTCAAATAAGTGCACGAAACTAGCTCTTAGAAACACTGACAGAACATGACTTGCCAGGCATTAAAAAAAATGAGAAGACATTTCCATCGTCCAATATAATAATGACTTGTTAGCAAGACAACGAGTAACTGTCATCGATATAATAGTATAAGCTCTTTAAATATTTGTTTTCATTGTGATATTCCCCTTTGGAAAGAAAAAAACCCACCGAAAGAAAGTGATCTGTCACAAAACATTACTGCATCGCCTGGATTTTTCTTCTCCATCTTTTTTCTTGGGTTTTTAGAAGAACACCCTCCCTCCGCCCACCCACCCTATCCAGTCATGGAATGTGTTTTTCAATCTAATACGAATTCACCTGAAGTTTAAGTGCTAACGTACAGTACATACATTTACAGAATGACTATACAAAAGCTAAAAATCAAAAACGCCAAATAAAAACCCTGTCAGCTTAACTGTGTCTATATCTATTTGTGTAGGAAAATAAAAAAGAGGGGGTCATAACGCTGTAGGCTTGTGCATGTGTCGCTTGCTTCCAGTAAAGGGAGAGTTGCAGTGTTGCTGAAGAGGGGGTCGTTGACACTGTAGTAGGATTTAAATGCTTCACGTCCACTTAAAAGTGGTCAGAAAGTTCCTCTCCCTCTCAGAGAAGTTACAACGCCACCTACTTTCACGATGCGGTCTGAAAACTGGACTGCCACAGCAAGCAAATAATAACCATTTTGTCTTTTTGTAATCATCTTGATAAGCTATGCAATGACATCTGTAGAAAAATAATAAATAAACACTTTATGGTACATCTGTTATATCTTAATTTAGTTTTTTTGTCTTTTCTGTCTCAGTTTTTGAGTTTTCTTTTACCAAAATAATGCAGAATGAACAAGCCATCTGCTGGTCTTGGGCTTCATACACTCTTAAAAATAAAGGTGCTTCAAAAGGTTCTTCAAGCGATGCCATATCTAGATGGTTCCATAAAGAACCTTTAACATCTGAAGAACCTTTCTGTTTCACAAAAGGTTCTTTGTGGCAAAAGAAGGTTCTTCAGATTATAAAAAGGTAAGAAAGAGATGGTTCTTTAAAGAACCTTTGACTGAATGGTTCTTTGTGGAACCAAAAATGGTTCTTCTAGTCTTTTTGTAATCATCTTGATAAGCTATGCAATGACATCTGTAGAAAAATAATAAATAAACACTTTATGGTACATCTGTTATATCTTAATTTAGTTTTTTTGTCTTTTCTGTCTCAGTTTTTGAGTTTTCTTTTACCAAAATAATGCAGAATGAACAAGCCATCTGCTGGTCTTGGGCTTCATACACTCTTAAAAATAAAGGTGCTTCAAAAGGTTCTTCAAGCGATGCCATAGAAGAACCATTTTTGGTTCCACAAAGAACCATTCAGTCAAAGGTTCTTTAAAGAACCATCTCTTTCTTACCTTTTTATAATCTGAAGAACCTTCTTTTGCCACAAAGAACCTTTTGTGAAACAGAAAGGTTCTTCAGATGTTAAAGGTTCTTTATGGAACCATCTAGACAAAAAGGTTCTTCTATGGCATTGTGAAGCACCTTTATTTTTAAGAGTGTACCTTCTGATGATTTAAAAAAAGAAGGACAGAAAGAGAGGGAGAGAGAGAGAGTAAAAAAGAGAGAGAGAAATCATTTTTTCCCAAAATGTTTTTCATGCTTTAAGTCCTTGATAATGATACCTTAAGAGACAGACACACATGAAAAAATGTGCTTTTTTTCACCCCAATAACCATCCTTCTACATAAGAATGATTCATGTACTGATACTAAAAGGTGTTTAAAAAGAGAAATATATTCAAAAATTGTAATATGTGGTGGGGGAAGAAAAAAGAACCAGCACAATCTCTTAAAAATGACAATAATGTGAAAAAAACTACAACACTACTGCTAGCACTAATAATAATAATAATAATAATAATAATGTTTGTGCGAGAGGTAATGGGTTGGCCATGGGGTTGGTCCACTTGCCCTCACTGCTGCTTCCTGTCTTATGTGTAAGCATTGAGCCGTTCCTTGGAGCGTGTAGAGTGGATGTCATGCAGCTCCTGCTCCTCCTTAGACTTGCAGTCCTCGTATTTCTGCATTTTACATGCATCCTTCACATAGGCCCAGTTGGCAGACAGCACCATCAGGTAGTGGATCTGAAGCAACACAATATAATATTAAATAGCAGCAACAGAGAGTCAACTAAACCTTTGCATTTATATTATTCGGATACAATTGTTCTTATAAAACACACTTACACTTATAATTCTTATAAAATGACTTAAAAAAAAAAAATTATAATTCAGATAACATCAACATGAAGTCAACATTCACAATTTTATTATGGACACTTATTTTTAATTTACATATGGTCAGACTGAATTTGGAGAAGAATTTACGGTAAACCTTATAGTATTCTTAATTTGAAAACTATTAAATTATTATTCATTGTATTATCATTTGTACATTTATTCATAATTCACAATTCATATTTTGTAGTTTGAAGCTGTAAATTAAAGTATTAAAGTACTTTTTACAAGAAAATACTATTTCATTATTTCTACTTCAAAATGTCAAGTTTATTTCGATGTGTTATATGCAGTTTCTTTGCAATTATTTATGAAATTACTCGCAATTTCAGAGTGAAATTTGTTTCTACAACAATTTTTTTTTTCAGTGCACACACACTACACATGCAAGTTTGGAATATTTTGGATTATATTTGGACTATTTTAATATATATTTAAAATGTCATTTGATGAGATGACAAAGCTGAATTTTCAGCAGTCATTTCTCCAGTCTTCAGTGCCACATGACCCTTTAGAAATGATTCCAATATGCCGATTTGGTGCTTAAGAAATTATTCTCATCCTATTATTTTCAATGTTAAAGTTTTTTTTTCTGCAATATTTTCATGATTCTAAAATATTACTGTTTTTACTGTATTTTTCATCAAATAAATGCAGCCTTGATGAGCAAAAAAAAAAAGATGACTAATTATTTTAAACTTTTGACCGGTAGTGTATGTGTGTAAATATACATATATATACATTAAATTTTTGGTTAATTAATTTATAATAAGAAAGAAAGGTTCCAAGTTGACAGCAGACTGTGATGACGCATGTTTGTCACTCTAAAATTAGCAGTGACACCAGCAGGAGCAAGCATTGTAAAGCAGCCAGACTCCTCTCATCCGTGCGCTTAGGAGGAAATTCTACAGTCTACTTCAAATATGCATGAAAATACCTTGATGAAGGCCATGCTAGTTCTTATTATGTAACCTAGCAAAGGTTTTACATGTGTGAACAAAAACAATATATAATGGGTTATCTCACAAAAACATGAAATCAAATACAGTGCGTTGGGTAATAAGCAGCTACAGTCTTGATATTATTTAAATTATATACATAGATAAAAATAGGTTAAGAGTGAATTATTGACCTGCATGAGAGCACACACTATATGTTCTTTACTTCAGTGCATCATTATGCAAATCAGATTGACATTATGCATGCTCATTTGAATAGGGCCACACCCTGATTTTCTCATCTTGACAAACTAAATGCTTGGATGTTATTACCCATCCCAGAGAGCGTGAGGACGCATTGTGTTTAACAATCAGTTAAATTTGCTCTTTCCACAGCAGGGGACGGAAAAGCTCTTTCTATAATTTGCTACATCATCCCAGACTAACAACCACATTCTCTTTTTCAGAAAATGGTTCCTCTAAATTACTGAGTGTGCTTGCTAGAAGCTCTAGGGCCTTTCTTCTCCCAGTTTCCATGACAACAAAATGACATGCCCAGTGTCTCTCCATGTATGTGAGAGAAAGACGGAGAGAAAGAGAGAGAGAGAGAGAAAAACAAAAACAGGCACAAAGATAAAAGGAGAATGTTAAAAAACAACAAAGAAAAGCCAATAAGAGAGAGCTGACAACAACCCCAATGCTTACTCCTCCAGAATTCCTAGGAAAACTGTGACAGTGATTCATGACTTTATCCCATTCCAGTTTAGACCAACATAAAGGAGCTAAAGCAGGTGATGTCATTACTTCAGCTGGCATCATCATCATCACCCAGATCATTGCCAGTTTAAAAGAGGGAATTTCAAATTTGTTCACACCACAATTTTTCTAGTATCTTTTGTCAGTTTTTCTATTTTCTTTTAGTCACATATACATATATATATATATATACTGTATATATATATATATATATACATACAGTATATGCATTGCATTGCACCCATAAGTGCAATCTCTTCTCTAAGGTGCAGTGTATGAATTAATAATTGCATTATATTAATCAAAACTCACCATGGCGATGACTGCTGCTCCAGCCCCAGCCAACGCACATACAAACAAATGGAAAGTCATATCCAGCTTTCAGAAAAAAAATATTGAGAGAGAAATGAGTCTTGGATTGCTCTTCATTGTGGAAATGACCTATACAATCACTTGATAACATGGCTTACGTACCTCATTCGATTCACACATTTTGTAGAACTTCTCTGATCCTGCACATACAGTCTTCTCCTCTCCAATGGGCACAACACCTAAAATAAATTGTTTTTGTGATTCCTCTAAAACAATCTGTGTTTTTAGGGTATGTGAGGTTATAGGAATGGACATTACACTTTTTTAATTTGGATAACTACCAGTAACAAAGAACAAAATTACAACACAAACAATAAATTATCATTGAAACATCTTTCCTTGTACAGTTAAGCACACCTAATCATCTGGCACTGAATCACACAGACTGTAAACATACCAAACTGGCGCAGGTCAAGACATAAACTTGCTCCCTCCAGAACGGTCATGTTTTGGCAAATGGTCCAGATGTTGAAGTACATGAAGACAGGCAAAGAGGTGAATGCTGTCACACCCAGCCAAGCCAACATGAAGATGTATGTCAACATGATGAACTGAAGAAAAAGATATCCAAATGTGAAATCAAGAACTAAATGATAAAATCATTAAGAATAACAATTATAAGCGTTATAAATTAATATAAGTGTTATAAATTAATTACAGTAATTGCAACCACACAATATATTTCATGTTTCACTTGGCACAAATGAGGGGAAAATAACTTGCAGAGTTCACTATGTACTGTAATCTTGTATAGCCTATAAACGGATGCCATATTTATGTGCGGCAGTTACTCTTAGTGGCTTTGCTGTTGCCCTTTTCTAAATTACAATGCATGAAGCTCTCCCAGTGATTTCTCACCCATGCACTGACACAGCGCCCACAGGTGGTGATCTTGAAGTCTCCATACAGGTCCTTGATGGCCCCACTGGTAAAGAAGCCTTCGACCATCAGAAGAATGCCATATACGAAGAATGCAGAGGCAATGCCATAGATCACATACTTGATAATGTCAATACTGTGGAAAATGGAGGAAATAAAGTCAATAATTATATGAGACAGTATATATATATATATATATATATGTATATGTATATATTCATACATTTCTAAATTATTTAAATGCACTGCAAAAACAATTTTCGGTATCTTCTCTAGTTTTCCAGTAAAAACATATAAAAATCCTCTCTCTCTCTCACACACACACACACACACACGATTTTTTAAAAATAATTGATATATATATATATACAGTGGGTACGGAAAGTATTCAGACCCCCTTCAATTTTTCACTCTTTGTTATATTGCAGATATGAATAATAATTGCTTTAACCATTAACCTCAGTAATTTTGGTTAAATGTAGGCGAGAATGTGGTAAGATGAGCCAGTGGTTAAAATGAGCCACTCCTTGTATCTAGGTAATTATAAACAAAAGTAATCATGTTCAACATATTAAAGTAGTATCATTCACATTACTCAATCCACCTTGGACTCAAACACTTGGAGAGAATTATAAGCAAACTAGAGAGAAATTGTCATGTCAAGTGAAACAATCATATTACTAAAGTTTTGTTTATGAATTAAAATAGATCATTTTTATTACGTGTTAATTTAAAGGGGTCATATGATGCGATTTCAATTTTTCCTTCTTGTTGCTTGCCTTTTCTCCGATCACAAATGCAGACAGGTTTTATGTTTACGCAGCGCGATGCAACGCGTAAAAAGACAGTATATGTCATTATAATCTGTCCCCACTGGATGCAACAAATGCCTTGTTTATAATGGGTTTTAATGTTTTTGTCTCGTCGCTCCGG